AAAGAAAAAGGTTAGAAGTTGCGGGTAGATTTCCTGCTGGCCTCACTTCATAGAAAGGTAAGAGCTAACGTTTCTCGTTTTGCAGCGAGTGATGGGCAACCATTTTTAATTGTATTCAGCTAATTTTGTTTTATTTTTTAAGCTTTTCTAAGTTAAATGCATTCATCTCCCTCTCCGACTTTCTGTTATCCATCTTATCCGTGTCTGGGAGAGGTGGGTGTTAAAATTTTTTAAATTTAAACACACGGATGAAAACACCTCGGTTTGACATTCTCTGTCGGCATTCTAGCGAGTGTGCAGTTCTGAGAGTTGGGTCTCAGCCCCAGAGTGCCTGTTGAGAAGGCGGGGGAGATGAAGGGGTGGTGAGATTCTGGTTCTAGCCCGTTTACCAGCCACGGACGGTGGGGACATCCTTTGCTCAGCCTGCTTCCTCACCTGCTGCTTCCTAAGATAAACTAAAAGGCAGAAGTGCCAGGTTCATGGGAAGTGCCCAGTAGATACTAATCACCACCCTTCACCATTTTTTTTGAAGGGGCCCTTTCTCTTCACCTTGTTCCCAGCTTGTCATAGACGAGGGTTTTTTTCTCCATTTGTAAAGGCTGCATACAGCATCTCACCAACAGGCCACTTTTTAACTCTTCGAATTCATACCTAGCTCAAAGATCCACTTATTTAGGAAGCCATTTTAGTTTTAAATCTGTGAAAATGTAAATGCTTATTATTGTGTTATTTTCTATTGTGGCTTCAGTACTTAGTGGCCAGGCATCTTTACAAGTTTCTTTTTATAATAACCCTTTTTGGACTTCTAATGTTCACTATTTTTTAGTACCAGTTTGTTTTCCTAAACTCTGTAGGTTTGTGACTGATCTTTAAAACCTAAAGCATTATTATGTAAATCCATCTCCTAACCCTAATTTTGATCTATCAGGTTAAAAATATGCACCAGGTAGTATCTATAGTCATTCTTCCACTAGAATTTAAATTTTGAAGTAGCTTTTCTAGTAGTAGATGTGAACGAAATTCCAAATTAGGGAAAGGTTTGACTTCTTGTCCTATTTGAACTATTAGAGATTATTGCCAGTATTTGGGCTTTCTCTTCCCAGATAGGAAATCACCCTGAACTTCTGGCTTTGTGTTCTGAAGTGAACATTAAGAAGACGAGAAAAGCCCTGGCCAGTTTGGCTCAGTTGGTTGTCCTATACACCAGAAGGTGGCAGGTTCGATTCCTGATCAGGGCACATACTTAGGTTGCTGTTTGATCCCTAGTTGGGTTGTATGTGGGAGGCAACCTGTGGATATGAGGTTGTTTCTCTCACATGGATGTTTCTGTGTGTCTCCTTCTCCCTCTCTTCCCCTCTCCCCCTCCATCTCTCTAAGATCAATTTTTAAAAATTAAAAGAAGATGAGAAAATGTTGGGAGATCATTTTTGCAAAGGGCACATTAGCTAGCGTTCAGAAGTGAGCTAACTGCAGGGGGGAAACTGCAAGCTGGCACAATGGCCTTTTCCTCAACCTTCTGTTAACCCAACAAGCTCCCACAGGTTGTTCTTGAAATTGCAAGATGATTATATAGCAGTACCGAATTGCAACTAAATCCTGATTTCAAACCATTATTAGCCAAAGGGTGGATTCCATGCATATGTTCGTGGATTTTCTGGTATTAATATTGGTGTTTAACTATTTTCACTTTTAAGTCTATCTATGGTCAGGGTTTACTTGGTGCAAAGGTGTCAGGCAGAGACCAGGATCACTTGATCGCTACTATGTTATGGGAAATAATTTTTATGGCTGGTAAAGTTACCTGTCCATTGTTACATTTTGAATGTGAAACTACCCAGAACACAGTTTGATGGCAAGTGGAGACTAAGGAGTCAACCTTATGAACATCTTCTGCTCTTTGGATTCGAAGGCGTGTGCAGAGGACAGCTGAATTCCTACGCATGTGCAGTGGGGCCTTGACTTACGAGCGTCCCGACTAACGAGTTTTTTGAGATACCAGCTGTCTCTCGGCGATTTTTTGCATTGAGTTGACAGAGTAATTTGAGTTAACGAGCTCCTTAACAAGCTCAGTCTCCGAACGAATTAAACTTGTAAGTCAAGGCCCCACTGTACTGTGCAAATGTTTGACATTTCTCAGTGACCTGTTATCAGTTCTTGCAAACTCTACAATGGTCTTTTGGCTTAATAACAAGTTTCCATCTACCTGAGGATGCCCAAAGTGCTTTTACCTTGTTATTGCTTTGTGTGTTTTTTCTTGAACCTCATTGAAAATAGAGGGCTCTGAAGTCCCTTTCCTCTCACTTATGGGGCTAAATCGTTTTGAAAATCTCCAGGGCTTTAGCTTTGTCTCCTCTTAAGTCGCCCTTACGAGCCCAAAGCAAACCAGGAAGGTAGCATCTGCTCCTCCAGTTAGTGCTAGGCTTTGAGACGGAACACCTCTCAGTGACTTCTGACCCATCCTTAACATTGGCTTCCTAGAGCTCCTGAGGATCCTTTGTCCCCAGGGCAACCTTTACGCTGTGGACTCTAAACTGTCTGACAATATGATACTATAAGGAGGAGCTTTTTGCTTTAGGGTAAACTACAGCTCTGTTTCCTAAGGACAGTATTGTTTTGGATGTTTCTTCTGGCTTTGTAGCACATACTGTGGTAGGTATACTTGATTACTAGCTCATTAGGTAAGTTACCTAGCCTCACTGAGCTCGGTCTCCATATCTATAAAATGGGGAGAATAATATCCACTTTATAGAGGTGGTTAATGAAGATGAAATAAATGAGGTGACACATGTAAGAACTTAACATAGTCATCGACACACAGTAGTTGGCATATAAATGCCTTCCCGGGACTGGTATTAGGGGAGACAACCTATTTCTAACCTTTTCAGTGATTCTCAGTGTTCCTTCAAGGAGAGGAATTGTCATTAATCTTTGTACCCATAGCTTTGATGGCAAGAAATACACATAAACTTTTTCCTAAGTTGGATATTGGAAGTTTCTCATCTTAATGTTCACTTCAGAACACAAAGCCAGATTTGAAGTGGAGTATAATTTTCACTCAGCTATGAAGGTGAAACTCCCTAGATCCACCACTTGCTTCTCATTTGTTCCTGGTCACACAGTGTTATTACTTGTGATCCAGTTGCTCTGCCTAGTGACCATATTCAGTAATTATTGAAGTAGAGTGACCAGAAAAACATACTTGCTACTCCACCTATAGCTTGTGACATACTTATATGTCCTGGGCTACACATGGAAAAAGAACAGATTGTGTTCTCTAATATGTAAATGTAAAGGTTAGTCACAGTTCTCTCTTTTGAACTAGTTGTAACTTGCAACTTCTTGAATGGTAGTGTGTTTACATGTACATACATGACTTCTGGTGGAAATGGAGCAAGTAGAACTTTGAATTGGCTGGGGACTATCTGGTTGAGGATCAAGGGTAGGCATGTAAAGGTCTGTTTGAGCCCTGGCCGGTTTGCTCAGTGGTTAGAGCAGGGGGGTGGGCAAACTTTTTGACTCGAGGGCCACAATGGGTTCTTAAACTGGACCGGAGGGCCGGAACAAAAGCATGGATGGAGTGTTTGTGTGAACTAATATAAATTCAAAGTAAACATCATTACATAAAAGGGTACGGTCTTTTTTTTTTTTAGTTTTATTCATTTCAAACAGGCCGGATCCGGCCCGCGGGCCGTAGTTTGCCCACGGCTGGGTTAGAGTGTTGGCCCTCGGACTGTAGGGCTATGGGTTCGATTCTAGTCAAGGGTATGTACCTCGGTTGCAGCCCCCAGTTGATGTATGTCTCTCACATTGATGTTTCTCTGTCTCTACCCCTCTCTAGAAATGAATGGAAAAAATATCCTTGGGTGAGGATTAACAAAACAAAAAAATAAATAAAGATCTGTTCCTTGATGAATGAAATGATTAATTATAAACATTTATTGAGCTTTATAGGACTCGATGGCTAAGGACTACTCATGGTTGTTTCTGTGAATCCTCACACTTGTGAGGTAGAAACAGGATCCAGTTTCTATTTTGCAGATGGAGTAAATGAGGTGCAGAGAGGTTACTGACTTGTACAAGATCGCCTGGCAAGGAGGTGACAGGGAAAAACAAGCCTGTCTCTGACTCTGGAACTGTCTTAACAGCAGTGCTGTCCTGATTTTGACCTAGTTTTAGGGACAGGAAATGTGACCAAACCCAGATCACTTTTCTAATATACCCAGACATTGTGTGTTTACCGTTAATGGCAATGCTCTAATTCTGGCAACTTGAAATTGGTCTTGCCTTCCCATTGTTTCCAAAAAACAGTTCTGTTAAACACTGCTGACTCTGCCTGGAAACATGATACCCTTTTCTTATGGAGACTTCTGCTCCTTTTTCTTTTCCTCTGTGCCAAGTCCATGGGTAATTTCCCTAAGATCAGTACCTTTCTTAGAAATTCTCTCAAAATGATAGTTGATAACTTTTCTTAGAGTTGGTAGGTTTGATTCTCTTTAAGTCTCATTTCCTGTTGGTGTAGCACAGTGGTTAAAAACCGGGAATCTAGCCCTAACCGGTTTGGCTCAGTGGACAGAGCATCGGCCTGCGGACTGAAGGGTCCTGGGTTCGATTCCGGCCAAAGGCATGTACCTTGGTTGTGGGCACATCCCCAGTAGGGGGTGTGCAGGAGGCAGCTGATCCATGTTTCTCTCTCATCGATGTTTCTAACTCTATCACTCTCCCTTCCTCTCTGTAAAAAAAATCAATAAAATGTATTAAAAAAAAAAAAAGCCGGGAATCTAAGCCACAGACCCGAATGAATCTCGTCCTACTTGCATCCTAGGGCAAGTAACTTACCTTTTCTGAGCCTGTTTTCACACTTGTAAAATTGGGATAATAACCATACTTGTTGTTACTGTATAATACTTAGACTAAGTATTTAACTGTCAGATATTATTCTTATTTGTTCCAGTGAATGTTTGTGTTTATAGGAATTAATGTTTATTTTATTCTCTCTATAGCTATTAAAATATTTGAAGAAGCTCTCCGCCTTGCCTATAACAGTAGACATTCTTGTGGTAAGAACTGTATAACTTCAGATATTATATAAAACTATATCCACCCTAGAAATAAAACAAAACTATATCCTATCCCCTTCCTAATGGGAGAGATTGTACCGTAAGACAGAGAACATGGGCTTTGGAAGTGAAGGAAAGGAAACACAAGGTCATGTATTGTATGATTCCATGTATATGAAATGTCCAGAATAGGCAGGTCATAGGCCAATGATGGCGAACCTATGACACCTCACAAGTTCGTGTGTCAGAGGTGACACGCGAACTCATTTTTTTGGTTGATTTTTCTTTGTTAAATGGCATTTAAATATATAAAATAAATATCAAAAATATAAGTCTTTGTTTTACTATGGTTGCAAATAACAAAAAATTTCTATATGTGACACGGCACCAGAGTTAAGTTAGGGTTTTTCAAAATGCTGACACACCGAGCTCAAAAGGTTTGCCATCACTGTCATAGGCAGAAAGTAGGTTAGTGGTTGCCAGGGGGTGGGGGCGATGGGGAGCAGCAGGGTTTCTTTCTAGGGTGACAAATGTTCTAGAATTAGACAGTGGTGGTGGCTGCAAAGTATTGTAAATATTCTGTAAACCACTGAACTATACACTTTAAAATGGTTAAAATAGTGGATTTTATGTTACATGAATTTTATCTCAAAAATATTTTTCTAAAAATTGAAAGAATGTTGGCTTTGTCATCAACTAGTCCTGGGTTCAAATCCAAGTTCTGTGACTTTAGCCCGTTCTATGTAAAATTGGGTAGATTCCTGTCTCACAGAGTTGTTACTGTGAGGATTGACTGGGATACTGTATGCAAAGCTGTTAGCTCAGTATCTGGCACCGGCCAGAATCACTGGTTATTGTAGAAGTGTTTTAATTCAGTGTCTCCTCTTCTGATCTGGTATGCTTTGTTTGCTACTGTGTGTCAGAGGTTTGGGGTATAGAAACAAACTAATTTTGTACTGAGGCTTGCAAGATACATTTTAAGAAGGAAGCTATTAGTTTGTTAAAAAGCAAGAGGTCTGATTTCTTTGAAAATTGTGAGCCTATTTCCACAACTCTAAAAATTCATGTGTTCAATTTGTAGGAGACAGGCGTTGGGAAGACGGTAAATAGCTTACGAAAACACGAGCACGTGGGAAGCTTTGCCAGGGACCTCGTGGCCCAGTGGAAGAAGCTGGTTCCTGTGGAGCGGTAAGAACATTACTCTAGGTCTGTTCAGTTTCATGGTTAAAGCTGGCATTTGGCGTGTTTACAGACAGAAATGATTGTCTATTATTCCTCTCTGCCTTCTTATTTAAAATATTTTGCCTCAAATATTAAAATAATCCATGATTATAGTATTAAAAAGTATTTAAAAATAGAAATAAAAATCAAAATTTCTTAAGTCTACCATCCAAAGATAAATATTATTAACATTTTGATGTTTCTAATGTTTTCTTAAAAGGCTTTTTATGTAGTTGTGAACAAACTATATATAACAGCCCCTTTGTTTTTATGTAACAAATATGTCCCTGTATTAAGCATTTTCATGCCTATAAGATATTTGGTCTTTGTGTCCTATAGTTAAACTCATCATTTTCCATTTATTAAATATTTGAGTTCCCAGGTTTTGTGTTTTTAGTTTGTTTGTTAATCCTCACAGAAGGATATTTTTCCCATTGCTTTTTTTTTTAGACGGTGGGGCAGGAGAGAGAGAGACAGAGACATCGGTGTGGGAGAGATCGATTGGTTGCCTCCCACATGAGCCCTAACTACGGTCGGGGATCGAACCGGCAACCCAGGTACATGCCCTTGACCAAGAATCGAACCCAAGACTCTTCAGTGCATGGGCCAATGTTCTAACCACTGAGCATGCCGCCCAGGGCATAAGTTCCCAGTTTTAAAACTTTGTTAAGTGTCTTTGAGCAGAACACATTTACTTTCTTCCCAAGACCTTCTTTCTAACGCTTGCCTTCTCTGTGGCTCTTTTGTGAGTTCAGGGTCCGTGACTGTGTCCTCTGAACAAGGATAACACTGAGGTTTATAACTGCTTTATCTGTATATTCTTCTATTTAGAAACACTGACCCTGATGAACAGGACTTTGAGAAGAATGATTCCCGAAAGCGCCCCAGGGATGTTCTTCAGAAGGAGGAGGAGGAGATAGAGGGGGACTATCAAGAAAACTGGAAAGCCTTCAGTAACCAATCATATAGTCCTGATCACAGACAGAAAAAACACAGAAAACTCTCAGAGTTCAAAAGACCTCACAAAGTGTCTCACAGTCAGGAGAGACGAGATGAGCGAAAGAGGGGCCACAGGGTTTCACCAGTTTACTCTTCAGATCATGAATCTTCCGATTACGGCCATGTGCAGTCCCCTCCATCATCCAGCAGTCCTCATCAGATGTCCGTGGACCATTACAGGTCCCCAGATGAGGACCATGAGCCCTTTGTTCCACACCAGAAGCCTGGAAAGGGCCACAGTAATGCCTTTCAGGACAGACTCGGGGCCAGCCAGGAAAGACACCTGGGTGAGCCCCGGGGGAAAGGGGTTGTGAGTCAGAACAAGGAGCACAAATCATCCCATAAAGAAAAACGTCCAGTGGATGCCAGGGGAGATGAGAAGTCGCCTTTGAGCAGAGAGAAATCCCACAAGGCCATCGCCAAAGAGGAAAACCGGAGGCCCCTCTCAGGGGATGGCACAAAGGAGAAAGCGCCCTCTAGTGGTACCAAGAAAGAGAAGGACAGAGAGGGCAACTCCAAGAAGTTTTCATCCCCCTTGGAGACTGCTTCAGACAACCACCGTAAAAAGCAAAAGCACAAAGACTCAGAGAAAACTAAATCAGACAAAAACAAGCAAAGTCTAGACAGCTTAGACAGAGGAAAGGGGGCCGGAGACCTGGTGCCCAAAGCAAAAGAGAAGGTTTCTAACAACCTAAAGACTCAAGAAGGGAAAGTGAAAACTCATTCAGATAGAAAGTCAGCGGGCTCCCTCCCTAGAGTTGAGGAGACGGATATGGATGATGAATTTGAGCAGCCCACCATGTCTTTTGAGTCATATCTCAGCTATGACCAGCCCCGGAAGAAAAAGAAAAAGATTGTGAAAACCTCAACTGCGACCACTGGAGAAAAAGCACTTAAAAAAAATGATTCGAAAAGCACTAGTAAAAGCTCGGATACAGTTCAGAAATTGCCTAAGGTGAGTGAAAACAAGTCAGAGAAGCATCAGGCAGCTGGAGCCGATGCAGCCAAGCCGAGAAAGGTAACCCCTTCAGCCCCTTGGTGCTTCCCATTCAGAGCATCTGGCTCTGCAGAGCTCCCAGGACCCACCCTGCTGCTCTTTGCGTGGCTGGCTTTTGTATAGCTGGTTGAATTTCAGTTTCCTCCAGGCCTCTACCTGCCAGGGTGGAGAATACCCAAGAAAAGTGTTTGCTGAGGTGCCCTGGGTGCTGGGCCCATCTGTCTGTATTTCCTGACGTAGGTGTCAGACATGCCTGTTGCCCTCCTCCATCCTGGTACTGCCTGGCCCATTCTGTTGGGTATGGACAGGAGGAAGGGAAGCTGTGCCTGTAGAAAAGGGCACTCCAGTCACTGGTCTCTGCTCTGCAGGTCCCCATCGATGTCCTGCCAGTGTTGCCAGACATCCCATTACCTGTGATACAGGCCAATTACCGGCCACTTCCTTCCCTCGAATTGATATCCTCCTTCCAACCAAAGCGAAAAGGTAATTTTCTGTATCTTTTTTTAAATGGAAGAAAGATTTTAAAAATCATGATCTGTCATCAGATTTTGGTGAGTTTCTTAATTGGACAGGCTCTGGAGTTTGATGTCTTGAGTTTGAATCCATCTCTGCCTTCTACAAGTTACATGAACTTGTGTAGTAACTTAATTTCCTTGGACTTCAGTTTCATATTCTATAGATGAGAATAATAATGGTTTCTGTTTCTTAGGGTTGTGTAGTGGATTAAAAGCTGATAAAGCTCTTAGCTACCATGTTTTTTTCTTTTTCTTTTTTTTTTTTTATTGATTTCAGAGAGGAAGGGAGAGGGAGATAGAAACATCAATGATGAGAGAGAATCATTGATCAGCTGTCTCCTGCACCCCCCCTTCTGGGGATTGAGCCCACAATCCGGGCATGTGTCCTTGACGGAAATCGAACCTGGGACCCTTCAGTCCACAGGCCGACGCTGTGTCCACTGAGTCAAACTGCCAATTTAAAAATCTTTTTAAAAATGTGGAAAGTCTATGTACTGACATGGAATGATTTCTAAAATGTGGTAAATGAAAAAAAACGATGATAGTAGTGAGCATGTTACTAATCGGTTAAAAAGGAACACAATTCATATTTGCTTACTTTTGCATAGACTCTGGAAGGACACAAGAATCTGGTGACATTGGTTGCCTCTGAGAAAGGGAAGGGAGGCTGAGGAATGGGGTGGGAAGGAGGGTTTTCACTCGATAACTTAGAGCAGGGGTGGGCAAACTTTTTGACTCGAGGGCCACAATGGGTTCTTAAACTGGACCAGAGGGCCGGAACAAAAGCATGGATGGAGTGTTTGTGTGAACTAATATAAATTCAAAGTAAACATCATTACATAAAAGGGTACGGTCTTTTTTTTTTTTTTTTTAGTTTTATTCATTTCAAATGGGCCGGATCCAGCCCACGGGCCGTAGTTTGCCCACGGCTGGCTTAGAGCCTTTGTAACTTATGTTCTGTGTTTCTTGTGTTACAGCACACTCTTCTTCCCAGGAGGAGGAGGAAGTTGGATTCACTGGACGAAGAATGCATTCTAAGATGCAGGTGTACTCTGGTTCCAAGTGTGCCTATCTCCCCAAAATGATGACCTTGCACCAGCAGTGCATCCGGGTACTTAAAAACAACATTGATTGTAAGTCACATGCTTCTCTCTAGCTCTCAAGCACGTTGTGGCGCTCGCTAGGGCAGTATCACTGGGTGGCTTGGCTACTACTCAGCGCTTTCACCTTTGATTCTCTGCAGCAATCTTTGAAGTGGGAGGCGTCCCGTATTCTGTTCTTGAACCCGTTTTGGAGAGGTGTACGCCTGATCAGCTGTATCGCATAGAGGAATACAATCATGTGAGTATCCTGTTTGGGTGGGAAGAGGGCAGTTTTCTGGCTTGTGTCTCCAAAAATAGCATTGTCTCTGAATCGGCTGCAGCTGAAGGGTAGGCCACAGGTTGGATCACTGTTCTGGGCGTGTTTGTTTTGCCAGTGGACCTTTAAACAAAAATATTTTTAGCATCTGTCTCTGGCATCTTAAGTGGGCCTCTTGGGCTAGAATCTTAGGTGGGATTCAAAGGGAGCAGGAAAGCACTTCCCACACCTCCTTTGAGCTTACCTGGTCACAGAGGCAAAGGGAGAATTCTGGCAGCACCACCCCTGGGATCCAGGCCGGGGATAGAGCTTTGTGTTGACACTCAGGTGTCTGGTGAATTTTTTAAAGAGCACAAGGGGCTGGGTGTGTCCTAGGCACATTGAGATCGATCCAGATATCCTTTTCCTAATGCTGGGACACACTTATCTGATTGAATCCTGACATATCCTCCTTAGATGGCCCCTCGCCAATACAGTTCAGTGTAGCACTTGGGAAATGCCTGGATTTGACTTCATTCTGGTTGACCCTTCATTGATGTTTATAAAGGAAAAGAATGATCTTAAACTAATGTTGTGTTTTCTTATCTCCTAGCCACACAACCCCCCAAAAGCAGCTAGTATGGTGCATCACATTTAACTTTAATTTCGTGATTTGATTTTTTTTCTAGAACCATGGTATTTTAATATATTTCTATGTAGACCAAAAAATCATTAGGAAACCTAGGTGATTAAAGGTGGAAAAGAGATACATAAGAGTGCTTGCATATAAATGACGTCCTGGTTCTGGTTTTAGGTATTAATTGAAGAAACAGATCAATTATGGAAAGTTCATTGTCACCGAGACTTTAAGGAAGAAAGGCCAGAAGAGTATGAGTCATGGCGGGAGATGTACTTGAGGCTTCAGGATGCCCGAGAGCAGCGGCTACAATTATTGACAAAGAATATCCGATCTGCACATGCCAATAAGCCCAAAGGTAGGCGGGGAAGGACCGGCAGGACGGGGCCTGGCAAAATAGTGAGCCCTGTGCTCTGATCCACAGCAGGGTCTTGGTAGGCCCTGCTGATGTAGGGCCTCTGGCCCCTAAATCTCTTGTATTTGCACAAGTGGGGCAGAGGGGGTTTTTCTACCACTGCTTATGCTACCCTACAAAGCGTTTTTCAGGCTTGGTGAACCCTCAGCTTTGGGGGCACTTGATAAGCTTTTATCTGGCAATAGTGTAGATCATTGAACTAACAGTAGCATCTCTGTTCCAGAGGCAGGTATTAATCTTCGTATTTCTCCACAGGCCGACAGGCAAAGATGGCTTTTGTCCACTCTGTAGCCAAACCACCTCGTGATGTTCGAAGGAGGCAGGAGAAGTTTGGAACAGGAGGAGCAGCTGTGCCCGAAAAAATCAGGTACCATCTTTACTGCTCTGGTTTCTGCAAGCTCAGGGAAGAGGGTCCATGAGCTTTCACTCACCCTGAGAAGGCAGCCCAGGCAATTCATTTTGGAGGGAAAGCATGGCAGTGCAGAGTGGGTTCTGGAGCCCCAGCTTCCTTGACTGCAGTGCAGGCTGGATAATTATTGCTGACTCTCAGAGAGGTCAAGATTAAGTAGAGAATGGGGCCTGGCTTCTGAAAACACTTACGCTTTCCCTTCCCCCATTTAAGCAAAAATGGTGTTTACTGTATGACTAACTTATTTAATACTAGTGGCCCGGTGCACGGATTCGTGCACATTAAAAGGAAATTAATTAGCCGGTGGCCGGCGGGGTGGGACTGGGCTAGACAGCCGGATATGCCCTGGAGCCAATCTTCTGCGGTCCCTCCCTGGCTGCCCAAGGTGCAGTGGCTCGAAGGGTGTCTGTGGTCACTGGTCAGCTCGGCGGCAGTAAACCGGATTTGGGGCCAACAGTGCCCCAGCAACAACATAACCCACAGCCAAAGGTGGAATCGCACGGCCCCATGAGGAATCGGGCTCCCCCCTCTCTGGTTCCGGGGTGCGTCACCCAAGAACCGCGACTGCCAAGTCACCACAGCTCAGCAGCTCCTGCATTGAGCATCTGCCCCCTGGTGGTCAGTGCACATCATAGCTACCGGTCAGATGGTCAAACAGTCGGCCGGTTGCTTAGGCTTTTATATATATAGATTTTAGAGAGGAAGGGAGAGGGAGAGATAGAAACATCAATGATGAGAGAGAATCATTGGCTACCTCCTGCACACCCTCCACTGGGGATCGAGCCCACAACTCTGGCATGTGCCCTGACTGGGAATTGAACCATGACCTGGTTCATAGGTCGATGCTCAACCACTGAGGCACACTGGCCTGGCTAAACTTTTAATTTTTACCTCTAAACCTCATCCTCTCTTGGTTTTTCCATCTGGGAAAATGGCAACTCCATCCTTCCTGTTGCTCACACCACTACTCAGATTGTCCTTGATTTCTCTTATGCCCATATCTGATCCAGCACAAATACCACCAGCCCTGCCTTCTAAAGATGCCCGTAATCTGACCCTCACCACCTCCATGGCTGTTAGCTGTGTCTGGGACCATCAGTTCTTGCCTGGATTTGTGTAACAGCCTCCCCACAGAGCACCCTGCTTCTGCCCTTGCCCTGCAGATTTACACCTAAACAGTGAAAAGTTAGTTGAGGCTATCATTCCTTCTAAAGGGCTGACGCTGTCATCTCAGAGCCACTTCCAGAAAACCTGGGGGTAATATAAGTACAATCTGGGGCCATATTTATTAATTAAAACTATCTTACAGTTTACAAAGAAGCTAAATAACAACAAAAGTATAATTGACCTTAAAATGCTCAATGAAACTGAGGCTTCACATCTTCAGAGTTCTGAAGTGTTCTCAGGCAGGAGGCAGTGGTCAACGCCACGAAACTGAGTCTTCCTCAGAAAGGCCGGCCAGCTTCAGGGTGTTGGTGCTGAGGGTGGATTTCTCATGCTCATGACTAACCAGCTTTGTTCTGTGTTGCAGGATTAAGCCAGCCCCCTACCCCATAGGAAGCAGCCAAGCTCCCTCCAACAGTGGCAGCAGCAATAGCTTTACCGCCAGCCCGGAAGAGCCCGCCTACGATGGCCCCAGCACCAGCAGTGCCCACTTGGCGCCTGTGGTCAGCAGCACCATTTCCTATGATCCCAGGAAACCGACTGTGAAGAGTGAGTGACTCGGGGTTTCTGCTCAGATATTTCAAAACTAGTGTTTGAACCCCTTTAATGTCATTACCCTGCATTATTTTGTGTGCTGGATGTAGCATATGTATGATGCCTTGCACATAGCTGGTCTACATGTCAGGGCCTCTTTTCCCCCGCTTTGTTCATAATGCACGTGTATCTTTCAAATAATGATCATAATGAATGTTCATTTTCACACTCTGCCCTTTTTTAAAAAATCTAAATGTAAAACATTCTCCAGGCAATAACAGGTTCATAACCATTATTGACAGCTACATGATAGTTCATCTTATTGAGGTTTTTACAACCTTAAAACCCCAGCTTCCAAGTATTTATTTTTTATATCTAGTTGGGTCTGTTTTTATTTTATTAACTTGATTACCATAGACGATGCCCAGTATTCTAAGGAGGTGTCCTAACTTAAAAGCATTATTGTCTTCAGAGCCCATGGGAGAGTAGGAATCCTGGCTTAAGCTTTGGCTGAGCGCAGATTTATCAGTCCTTAGGCGGTATTTGCATTTAGCTCATGTTAGGCCTGTTGCTACACTGGGCAGACGGATGGGAAGGGAGTGCTTTTTGCTGGTTTCGGTGTTATGAGACAAAGTTAAATTATGGCTCACCATGGCCTTTACAGTCCGGATTGAATTAGTTCTGCCACTTACGGGGGCAGGTTAGCCAGTGTCTGAGTCTTGGTGAGGTTGTTAGAAATAGTGATTGTTTCAGGTCTGGCAGGTGCTCAGCAGGTGGTAGCTCTGTGCTGCTGCTTCTGTTGTGATGTTAGCCAACAGCTACTACTCGCATCCATTTTCCTGGTGGTGCAGAACCAAGAGTGGCGAGACTTTGGCTGATGGTAAACTGCTGGTGTTGTATGTCTAAACTGCCATGGATCTAACAATGGCCTTATTTCTCTTTCCACAGAAATTGCCCCCATGATGGCTAAGACAATTAAAGCTTTCAAGAACAGATTCTCCCGACGATAAACTGAGGACTTGCCTTGGAGATGGAATTTGGGGGTGAGGAAGACAAGGACAGTGGGGGTTGGGGAATGGAACTTCCAAAGGAGACCCGAGTCTTCTGCTTTGTGGCAGCGTTGGTCTCCGAGTCCTGCACAGTCCGCTGGTGTCGCATCTGTGAGCCTGTGCCGCGCCACTGCCTCCTGCCTGAGAACACTTCAGAACTCTGAAGAAGATGTGAAGCCTCAGTCTCACTGAGCATTTTAAGGTCAATTATACTTCTGTTGTTATTTAGCTTCTTTGTAAACTATAAGATAGTTTTAATTAATAAATATTGCCCCAGATTGTATTTATATTACCCCCAGGTTTTCTTTGGTTTTTGTCCTCTACCACATACTTAGCCTTTATGTTCAGGTCCTTTATTAAAGTTAAAGGCCTAATGAAAGCCATTCCCCTGTCCCAGTTCAGCTCTCCTGAATGGACTCTGGTACAGAGGGCGGACTGGGCATCCCCAGAGCCTGTGGTGCCCGCTCCACATAGGGTGAGGAGTGGGTCCTGGGCTGCCTGTCCTAGAGGGGCCTCAGCAAGCAGACAGGAGCATCCAGGTTAGACCCCTCACCTCAGACCCTGCTCAGTGTTGCTTTGAGTTCCTCTGTAGGTACAACTCTTTATTATTCATTAAATAGTATTTATTAAGGGAGGCTATTTGTAAAGGTCTAGAGTCTTTTCCCCCCATCCTATTTTGCAGTTCCAGATTATTTTTATTTTTCATTTTTGAGGCTCACTAGATGACACAGACCCTTGGGAGAGCGATTTGCACAGAATCCCAGCATTTTTACAATTTCCAGTGTCTGATTCAAAACTTTAGGGTTTTTTTTTCCTTCCCTGTTTTTCCTTCTCCCACTAGCATGGGAGAAAAACACAAATACATGGCAGGGCTTTCCGTAGGGCCCCCCGCCCCCAGATACAGCGTCAGAATTTTAAGAGCCAGCACTTTAATCTCAATCTCTATGAATTACTATTAGAAGTGAATGGTTTTAAAAGTTGTAATGCTATGTTGGAAATTGATTTTGTTTTCGCTTTCTTTAAAAGGTAAGATCATGTGACTGAAAGAGCACAACAATTTGCTGTTTTGTAGAGAACTTTGCAGCTGAAGCTCTCTCTACTTTCCGAGTGTGTAAGCCAGAATTTGGAGCGAAGGGCCAACTTAGCAAAAGTGTCCAAGCTATAGCATCAGGATGGGAGAGAACCACAGGGGCATCCAGCTGGTTTGGGAAGGGAGGGCCTCCCTTTTGAGTTTACTTAGGAGCAAGATCAGTGCATTGCTGTGCAGGTGCCTGTTGTGATGTGACCTAAGTATTGCTCTGTTTTAATTTGCTGTTTTTTAACTGGGTAAAACATTATTTCTCTGAATGGATTTTATTTCTCTTGATTGATTGTATTACCATTCCATCCCTATCCCCAAATCTTAGGAAGCCTCTTACCTAAAACCAAATGAACATCTGGGTCAGGTGCCTAGAATAGCTTCCTCGAGGTGTCCACCTTAAATCTGTCTCTTAGCTGTGTGTTCAAGTCTTTGTCATTGAGACCAGTTTTTCACATTTCAGATTCAGTTGTGTATGATTTAATTTCCTTTATTAGGAGTCTTTAGACAGGGAGGGGAAAAAACACACACATTTTCATCCCAACATCACTACCATAAAGATTTTTGATCACCCCTGTTTGCATAGAGCCAGGACTTTCCTCCTCCCCTTCCAAGCATATTTGCATCAGGAATGTGACTTGGTGAAACCAGGAATGAAGGAAGAGGAGAAACCCAATTTCTAAATGACCTCCTCACCTGGGTGCTTGAAATGGCTGCTAAACAGACATAGGATGACGTCAAACTTTTGGTCTCATTTGTGAAAACGTGTGCAATTTTTTTTTTCTGTGCTACACTACATACAAATCAGCAAATTACAAATTAACCCTTTGTGATCGTTGATCTAATGAGCAGTTTCTTTAGGGCTTTCTCTTTCTTTCTGGGAGGCGGGCGGGGAAGGAGCAAGGTGTCATCCTGCTCTTCATTTGTATTTTGGTCCCAAAATGTAAATATAATTTTCTATGTTACTTTTTTGTGGTAACTACCAAGATGAATATTTTAATTAGATAAGTTATATGAAATGAAAGAAAAATTCCATGTCTAAATAAAAAAACGAACAAAAAATCCCATATAATGTTGGTCTTTCTCCCTTATTGTGCCAAAGAATGGAAGTTGGTCACAAAAGGTCTGGTTCCTGGGCTGTGAGGCAGAGATCTTAATCCCTGGGCTGGATAAAGGGGGGTTGGATTTTTGTAGCATAGCAGACTGGGAAAGGGGGGAGAGCCCTGTAAGCAAAGGGAGGGACTCAGATAAAAAGGAACACCTGGTGGGGACCAGGCACTGTCCTTTGTTACACTTGGAGCCCTAGACTAAGCTATTAATCCCATTATAGTTGAAGCTGAGGTTCAGACCATGAAATAGCACAGTTAAAGCCGCATAGCTAGGAATTAGCAAAGGAAAGGATTTTAAATTCAGATTCTCTGACTGCAAAGAATGCCCCTCCACCTTTCAGTCATTTCTTGTGGGTGTGAAAGACACAGGTAGGTCTCAGTCCTACACTGGCTTCCTAATGAGAACATAACACTAAAGTGGACAGATCATGCCAACAAGGAATTAATGAGAACCTGCCATTCGCATGAGAATGGGCCGAGCTGCTGGAGTTTCAGCAGTTGCTAATGGGTCAAGGGCTTGGTTTCAGCCCCTGCATACATCCAGTGGGTTGGATCTTACCTTAAACCTACATCTCACAACAACACAGTTTTACTACCGCTTCTTTCCTAAAGAAAGCATTTTGGGTGTATATATAGTCTAGACTTACTTTCTCCAATTCTTTGTTGGATCTAATTCTCACTATTAGAAATTAATATGCATTGAAGTTAATTGTGGAACATGGTATCTGATGGATGACTTTATCCAGAGTTTGTAAGTTAGCCCTTAGTCCCTTATTAATTCATCATTTGCTGAGCCGTTGGACCTGTATTAGACCCTGGACTAGACTGACACAAATAAGTCTGGCACTCAGGTAAGAGTAACTGGCCCTGCTGGTTATGCACCTACTATGTGCCAAGCAGCTCTCTGTCTCGTATACATTGTCTCCATTATCACAATGATCCCACAAGGTAGGTAGGTGGTCATGGCCCCATTTTGAAAATGAGAAAACTGAAGCACAGAGAAATTAGGAACGTGCCCAGGGTCACACAATCAGTGAGCAGTGATGCTGTGTGTTGGCCTGACCCCCAAGCACACATTCTCAGTCACATTTAACTATCTTATAATCAGACATACATACCCAATGTAAGGCTTCTGCAGCAAGGCTGACTCCAATGCAAAAGATGCCCAGGCCAGGCCCTGATCATTTCTAAGAATGGTTTTTTTGTCTGCTGCATGTAACTGATGCCCAGAAGAATCCTTGTTAGCATCTGGCTAATCACCTTGACAGATGCCCCCTTCACAGGGCTTCTCCACTAGCGTTCCACATCCACTTGAGTCTCTCCCTGGTTATTGGCTAAATGGTGACATAGACAGTTTGTCTTCATAGGTCCACAGACTTCTCTTTCTGTGATGCCTACTGTATTATTTTTAAAAACTGAGGAGTATGAGGAAAGTTCAGGTCATCAAAACTGTATATAGCTATCTATACCTGTGTTTCTCAAACAGTTTCAGGTTGGCCCCTAAGCTATGTCCAGAAGTGACCCATCATTTCCATCCTATATCATTGGCTGCAGCTAAATTCAAGGGGACAGGAAAGTACAGTTCATCCATGTGCCTGGACACAGAACTGATTTGCTAAGAGCACCAAAGACTCCAAAGGCAACCACAGTGCGCTGGATAATCCACAAGGCTACCCAATCTTGAATCCCGTAATTCCTAGATGTGAACCCTTGAGCAAGTCACTTAACCTCTCTGTGGATCAACCTTGCAGAGCTATCATACAATGATCTAATGAGTAAAACACGAAAAGTGCTTAGAAAAGTGCCTGGCACATAAAAAGAGCTCAGGACATGCTAGCCAGGATGTTGGTGATGAATTAGGTGAAGCAGCCAACATGGAATGGGCATTTATTAAAGGATTTGAAGCCTTGTGCATGAAATTCGTGCACTGGGAGGTAGAGTCCCTCAGCCCAGCCTGCACCCTCTCGCAGTCTGGGAGCCCTTGGGGGATGTCCCTGCGGGGAGCAGGCCTAAGCTGTCAGTTGGACATCCTTAGTGCTGCCGCGGAGACAGGAGAGGCTCCCGACACCACAGCTGTGCTCACCAGCTGTGAGCCTGGCTTCTGGCTGAGTGGTGCTCCCCCTGTGGACTGCATTGAGTGCCTGCCCCTTGGTGGCCAGTGCGCGTCATAGCCACCCGTTGTTCCACTGTTCTGTCGATTTGCATATTAGCCTTTTATTATATAGGATTGTTATAACTGAAGTTCTGAGGAAAAAGACTTGTCCAAGGTAACCCAAATACAACATGGTGGTTAAGAGCCTGAGCTCCAGAGTCTCAACTTGACACACAGTAAGTACTCAATTAATATATTTTTTAAATTTGTTTTTATTGATTTCAGGGAGAGGGAGAGAAAGAAACGTCAATGATGGAGACAGGAGAGGCTCCCGACACCACAGCTGTGCTCACCAGCTGTGAGCCTGGCTTCTGGCTGAGTGGTGCTCCCCCTGTGGACTGCATTGAGTGCCTGCCCCTTGGTGGCCAGTGCGCGTCATAGCCACCCGTTGTTCCACTGTTCTGTCGATTTGCATATTAGCCTTTTATTATATAGGATTGTTATAACTGAAGTTCTGAGGAAAAAGACTTGTCCAAGGTAACCCAAATACAACATGGTGGTTAAGAGCCTGAGCTCCAGAGTCTCAACTTGACACACAGTAAGTACTCAATTAATATATTTTTTAAATTTGTTTTTATTGATTTCAGGGAGAGGGAGAGAAAGAAACGTCAATGATGAGAGAGAATCACTGATCAGCTGCCTCCTGCACACCACTTACTGGGGACCAAGCCTGAAACCCAAGCACGTGCCCTGATTGGGAATTCAACAGTGACCTGATTCATGGGCCGATGCTCAACCACTGAGCCACACTGGGCTGGGCCTCAATATTAATAAATATTTAGAGAAGGCTCAATGTGGTAAGAACACAGACTCTGGAGGCCTACTGCCTGTGTTCAAATCCTAGTTCCACTATTAACCAGCTGTGTGACCTCTGGCAAGTCACTTAGCCTTCCTGGGCCCTGGTTTTCTCATCTATAAAATGGAGATAATAGGACACTTGTAGTTGTAAAGAT